TGCTGAAGGTAACTCCTTGCCTGGAGCACCTTCATGGTCCTGTCTGCCCAACATGCAGGGCTGAGCTATAACTCTGGAGCAGGAGGGGACAGCCCTTGCCACAGAATATTTACAGATCAAAGCACTTATTTCTGTATTTTCTGTGCTTTTGTCCAGCTGAAAGGCAATGCCACCAGCAACAGCTATGTTAGCACCATTTCTATTGGAAAATCTAAAGTCCGTGATGGGGCTGAATGCAGCATAGTCGGCTGGGGCTCCTCCGACCGCACGTTACGCAACACCAAAGTCACCATCATCAGGCAAAGGGACTGCCTGGCCCACAACCCTGGACTTGCCGAAAACTTGATTTGTGGACGCAGTGGATCTGATAGGGTACCTGAGAAGGTCAGTCTTTGACTTGGGGAATAGAAGGCTGCAAGGGAGGTTTTAGCCAGTTGCTGGGTACAAACCTGATCCAGGCTAAAAACTTCCCTGAAAACGTACTGCCTAAAATTACTTCTTGTTGTCCCCTCACTCTTCATCATCAGAGGGGGATGCTCTGTCCAGACATTTGCAGCCCTGTTGTTCTTTGAAAATGCATTGATCTCCTGAGGACCTCACATAGGTCAACACTGATTTCTGCCCTCTTTTTACAGAGTGATGCTGGGGATCCTCTGGTCTGCAACAACAAAGCCTATGGCATCTTCTCCTATAGGCACAAGAACTGGCCTGGTTTCTACACACGCATTGCTCATTACCTTTCCTGGATCAACAGTGTCATGAAGTCAGCATGACCCTACTCACTCTCCACGTGCTGCCCTGAAAAACTCACACTTCAGCACCCTGTGCTCACCTGCTTTTCCTTCCTTTCTCCCTGGAAAACATCTTCCACTTATCCTCATGGACATGGCAAGGAATTATCTCTGGCAAAGCCAAACTAGCAGTGGGGGCTTGGCACACAAATTGCACCTTGGCTGCATTTGTTCCCTGCGTGAGCCAGGGAGAGCCCATTTACACAGTGCATGCTCCCACACTTTGCTGCTGTAATTTGCCCCTTAGTCAAGCTGCTTATGGCTACAGCTCTAGAAAGGAAGCAGCAGGACAGTCCTGAGTGAGGTAACAGTAGTTGTTGAGATGTCTGCTGCCCTTTGAGGAAGGCAGTACAATTAGATCAGGGCAATCCAAATGCATTTGTGACACCAGATGCCTGGGTCTCCTTTGGCCAAGCCCTGAGGTTAGAGGGTTGCCCCAGCTCCAAGGAGTACACTTCCAGCTCCTGCTTCACTACTGCTGCTGCTGTCCCCTACCTCTAAAATCTGCTGTCTCCTTTCTTCCCTCTTGCTATAGCTCCAGTCTTGTAAGAATGCATAAAAACAATAAATTGCATCTGCATTTGAGCACCTTTCTCCTTCCATGGTTTGGATTCCTCCTGGCCTCTGGCTCCAGTCCTGGACAGCTCAGAACATAGTCACTACTCAAATAGCTGAGTCTTAAGCTGGAAGTTTCTACCCTAACCAGTCACCTCCATTTTCTGTCCCAGAAGAGGTGTCAAGCCCAGTTTTCAGGCAGAGGAAGACTCTTGGCCTTCTCTCCCCATTGTGGAGTGCTCAGGCAAAACTGAAAAGATGGTAATCAGTCGTCTTCTGGCAGGAGATCATCTCTCCCTCATATGCTGCAGAGTGAGCAGGCTCAAAGGGAGCTGCAGAGAGGAGGGGGCCCTGAGCACAAGGGTGCCCGGGGCTACGGGAGGACCTGCAGCATGGGCACGGGCAGAATTAGTGCTCTCATGCCCGGAGGACACAGCACAGTCGAGAGCACCCTCGAGGTTCCAGCCCCTGCAGCGCCCGAGTGCTCCGCAAGACAAGCTGTGTCACAGGGCGGGGACAAACCTGCTGCCTCCAGCACACTCGGGCTGTCAGACTCCCCGGGGACCAGCAGCTCCATTGATGACACACACACTTGGCTGCTCCAGCCACGCAGCTGCCTGGAGGAACCAACACCTTGCCACCAAAGGAGGGGAAGTACTGGGCCATGCCTCCGGCAGAAATTTTGTCCTCCAGGAGGTTTGTTTTGCTCAGAAACGAACGAACAAACAAAAAATCAACCCAAACCAAACAAACAAGAAAAAAAAATAAATCACCAAAGCCCTCCAGGTAATTCACTAAGAGAAGCTACAAATGAACAAAGTTATAAATTATTTTTGCTGTGGATGATGATGATGATGTTGCACATCTGTGCTGTTTTATAGGCACACAGTGCCCTCTTTGGGTTAGCAACAGCACGTGTTCTTCAAGCTCTAAAAGACTTCTGAATTGACAAAAAAAACCAACCCTTACCTCTAAAAAATCCTTTTCAGAAGAATTCCAAGGATGTTCTCATCCTACATCACCTCTACTTTGCAAAGCGCCTCATTGAAGCTCTCAGCTGTTTACAATGTTAGAGACTTGAGGTCTAAGCCACAGGGAGGAAGTATATGAGCCCGCACAGCAGGAGAGACCTGCCTTTTGGATGTTTCCTAAAAACACCGATTATTTCCATGGCCAGGAGCTATAGAAACACATCTGAGATGAAAGGAGGAGCAATTCAGGGAGCAGCGCATAGGAGCGGCCAGTGACAAGTAATAGCACCTGGCTGTGCATGTAGAACAGCGCCCAGGCTGCATCTGTAGTCCCTGCTGAGCCACAACATCTCCCATCTTGGGAGCAAGATTACCCAGCAGCTTTCACATAGCCTAAATGCTGAGTCTTACCATGCAATCCAGTATGGGAGCCACAAAAACTCTTCGGAAGCCAGAAGTTCTCATCCCAAGGTGATAGATGTGCTACAAAAATTGCTTGTAGAGGCTTTCATTCCCAATCAGATTGCATCACAGGAGATAAAACAGCTCAAAGATAACCAGACAATTGATACAAGTGCATTTTAGAAATTGCTAATGGTGCAATCTTTTGCTGGGAAGCTACTGAGATAACATGGATGTGAAATCGCACATTTTCAACTACCTTTACAAACCAGAGAGGAACAATGAAGATTTTGTCCCAGGTGGTTTCTGGAAACCTTCATTTTCACTCTGTTTCCCATCAGTTCTTACTGCGTATGTTTGCAGGGACAAATACACTTTCCTCCAAATGCATTCCAAAGCACTACCTTCAGAAACAGGTAATTTCAGTACTTATCCAAATGCCTTCATGCCAAAGAGATGGCTTCTGGAATGGAGGGATTCACAACTTTCATATTCTATCCTTAAGCTATCTGGAGCTTCCCACTGGGACTGCTAGGCATGAGAAAAGTAGGCAATGAAATGGGAAGCAGGATTCAGCAGCCTTCAGGACAGATGCTCTGAATGGGGAAAAAACCCCATCGCACAAAGTAGAGGCCAAAGGGCACTGGATGGATGCCCCTGGCTGAGCCTGGGGTTCAGGAGGTCGCTGGTCTTGACAGTAGTGTTGCTTCAACCAACAGTTGCCATCCAAACAAGCCAGGCTGGTACTGTGCCTCTGACCCGCGTGACAGATTGCAGAGTCCTGCATAAGGCAGGTTGGGGCCAGTCTAGACACAGAGGCAAATACTGAAGTGAAAGAAGGCATTATATTCCTACTTTATAAATTTCATATGACATTTTCTTCTTCTCATGCTGGACAGATGCTTCCCTAGCTTTACCAAGACAGCAGATGTAATGCTCAAAGAGCTTTCTCCTGCTGTCAGGACAATGGCTGTCCAAGGACAAGGCAAATCCCAAATTCTCTCTTCTTTGCCCTCTTCTTCTGCATGAGATTTTTTAATACGAAAAATATGGAAGCATTTCTTTAATGTCTGGGTCCACCTAGGTAGATAATCTCAAGCACCTGTTCTGGTGCTGGCAGGGACACCTCATGGCCTGGTTTGAAGTGCCCTGCAGCACCTACAAAACCCCAGTCCCTGGGCCAGCACACCTTACTAGAAGACTCGCTAGGCCCACAGCCCATTGGGGCTGCCCTCTTTTCCCAAGAGCCCCCTGAGAACAGGCTGCAGGGGGAATTGGCCTGGCAGCAGGCTTCTCCACACCACAGCTGCTCCTGGGTTCCCAAGACTTCTCCTTGCAGGATGGGGACAAAGGAGCTGAGGGCTTCTCACCCACAGCTGCTGAGACAGCGAGACAGGAGCTCACAGTCTTGCTGCAAGCAGTTTACTCAGCCTGTGTTTGAGGGGCCCTTGGGAAAGAGAGCAACTGCAAGCAAGCTGCCTGGATTGATCCCTCAGCTGCTGCTCCCAGCTGCCTCCTTCCCTGCGCCCCTCCAGGACAGGCAGGGCCTGCAGGAACCTCCTGCAGACACACTGAACAAACCTCAATGCTCCAGAGGCAGCACTGCCAGGGTGGGTGATCTGCACCTTTGCCTTGGCTGGAGACTGCAAAGGACAAAGCACGAAGTGCTCTTGCAGCCAACTAGGGATATTGGGCATTAGTTTTTAAGACTTTAATTCATTCCTTGAAGAGTTTGAATCTAGAATTCTGTAAAATTTTAAGTCAAGGTGCCACCATTGCATCCCTACATCTTAAACCCCCTCCTCAGCCACTGGTCACACTTCGGTTCAGAATTATTTGTACAGTATGTTATATATAGTTATTGCATATTATACCTTATATTCACCAAAACACACTTTGTTTCTCTGCTTCAGAGTCGTGATTTTCTGAGCAGGGACAACATTGCCAGCTAGGAGGGCAGCGTGTGCTTCATCTGGATGCAGGTCCCATGGGATACAGATGTCGTTCAGCCAAGCAGAAGGAGGGGAAGAGGAGGGACAGAGGTGAAGAAATGCATGCACAACCACCAAGGCTTTTAGGAACAAAATTTATTCCAATTTCAAACAGAGAATTTATTTCAGGAGGAAGATATGAAAATCAATTTCCATCAGATATTTCTGTAATAAGGGTTGTTGCCCAGTAGTCAGAGTGGGATCATTCCAAGAAACAATCACACTCCTGGACCGGAATGAGACAGTTTGGAGCCTGAATAGATCCTGACACTGGGCATCTTATTCAGAAACTCCTTTACCCTACCCTCTTCCCTCCCCCCGCCCCAACACACACAACAATACATGCATTGCAAATGACAAGGTTTAAAAACAGCATTTTATATAGTATCTTTTTAAATAGGATAATGTTTAAATTGTCTTAAATCAGGATCCTATAATATACAAGTATAACCAAATAATTTCCACCACATTGGCACTTGTAAAGAGTCTCTGGCACTACTAAAGAAGGGGCATTGGCACAAACCATACTCTTATAAAACTGGGTGCTGCGTAACACACTTTATCTCTGCTGGACTCTAACAACCTGGGCTCTGTACAGTACAATACAATGGTCAGCACACTCCGGAAGTACTTAAAAAAAATCCAATAAAACACATGAAGAAAAAAAATAGTTGAACGCAAGGCCAACAGTGCTAGGAAGCAACAACAAGAGACCAAAGAATCCAACTCTGGGAGGAGGGGAGACAGGTAGAAAGGGCATGAGCTATCTTGACACACTGAAGCAGGAAGGGGCTGTAGCCAATCCACACAGAACGGTGCAAATAAACGGGATGGTCTTCTCCACACCGGCTTCAAGTTTCAAACTGATTCAGAAGTACGCTGGTTTCTTCAGCAGAACAAAGATAAAAAGTGCACAAGGAGCAGAGGTTAGCCAAGAGACCACTTCCTCAGACTCAAGATCCTAGATTCTCGGTAAGAACCCAATTCCACCTCTTTTCTGAAGGTCAATCTGTTGCCTCAACCTGCAGAAAACTGACTGGCCTCTCTTTCAGAAAAGATGATATAGGCAAATTTGGTTTAAGGTTTGGCACTTTTGCTAGGGTAGATATTTGCTGAAGGGCCAGCCAACAGAGACATGAACCAGTTCTGCAGGAATACTTCACTGGCCAAGCTGGAGGCAAACAAGCTACTGCCTCCT